CTGGGTCCCATCATACAGGCACATGGCTTCTCCTACCATTGCTATGCTGATGACACACAGCTCGATCTTTCATTTCAACCAGATGATCCAATGGTAGCTACATGGATCTCAGGCTGCCTGATCATACACACGTAATCTCTTTAAAACATTCAATTCTCTCCTCTGTCCCCCTCCACCACCTCCCACCACTTCTATAACAGCTGATGATTTCGCTGAAAAGAGTTGTTTTCAAACAGGTATCATTGTTTCTGTCACAGGACAACAAACTGGACGCTAACCAGTCAGGTTTCAGGAGTGGCCATTCAACTGAGACTGCACTACTGTCAGTCACGGAAGCCCTGCGGATTGCAAAAGCTGATTCCAAATCATCAGTACTTATTCTGCTGGATCTATCTGCTGCTTTTGACACTGTCAATCACCAGATCCTCCTGTCTGCCCTCTCATCACGAATATCACCTACAGCTCAACCTGGCAAAGACTGAGCTTCTTGTCTTCCCTGCCACTCCAACTCTACAGCATGATTTCTCCATTCAGCTAGGATCTTCTACAATTACCCCATCAACTTCGTCGTTCACTGTTCCTGGTTGGTGGAATGATCTTCCCACCCCTATCCCGTATGCTGAATCCCTGACAATTTTCAAGCGACAGCTTAAAACTCATCTCTTTCGAAGCTACTTGACTTCATCGTAAAAAAACAAATAAATAAAAAATAAATAAATGTCTTTCTCTTGATTTATTCCTTCTCTTTCTAGCTTGTACTTATTTGAACAATGCCTAAAACTTGGTATTACAAGCACTTCCTGTGTCTGTTTGCCTCTTTAAGAAGAATCACTTTATGTATCCCCCAATTGTAAGTCGCTTTGGATAAAAGCATCTGCAAAATGACTAAATGTAAATGTAAAATGTAAACTCCACAAAGTAAGCTACCTTGTTATTTTCTCAGATGCTCACATCCTTGTTTTTTTTCTCAAATTATCATTTAATTTAAATTAATCATCAAAAATGACATCCAATGAAATTAATTCCTAAAGCTTAACAATTTAAGCAATTTTCGGTATCACTTTAGTATATAGGGACCAATTCTCACTATTAACTAGTAGCTCCTTAATCGCCGCCCTTCGCCAGGCTCCCGACATGAGTGGGTGCGTGAGAGAGGAGGGGCGCTGAAATAGCCAGGGCTGGCGGCGTGTGATGGGGCACACCTGAACCGAATGGAGCCTCATCACTGCCGCTGTTTAAATGCCGAGCGCGCCTCTCCTCGGGAGCCCGGCCTCTTCCCCGTGCATGCACGCCGGTGTCCTCGTGGGTCCAGGAAGGGTGCGTAGAGGGACTCCCGCGCCGCCAGAGCCGTGAGCTGCCGGACCCGCGGTCTGGACGAGAACCGCACCCGTTATACGGCTGACGGGCCAAGATGCCAGGCCGTTTATCCCCAGGAAGCGCCGTGGGCCAAGGAGGACGAAGCCGCTCAGAAGAAGCCGCCGCCCCTCGCACCCCGGACCAAGAGGGGAGCGCGTGCGGCCACCGGACCCCGCCCTTACCTGGACCCTTCCTTCCTGAACACTACCTGTCCTTCACAAACCCCGCAGCACAACGAGGACACCAGATCTCCTGTTTATTTTGAACACCCTTTCCCTTTGAACACTCTTATTCCCTGTTTTGGTTATTTTTGTTATTTTCTGTTAATAAAAGCCACTCCGAGGCCTGATGCCACACCCACTGTGTCTGTCGTTTGCGCCTCCCACCACATTGGTGGAGAATGCGGGCAAGGCGGAGCCTAGACAGCACAGTTGGGCAACACCTGATGACGTCATTCCCTCTCGCTTGCAAAAGTTCGTGAAAACCTGGACTGGGACGGAGGAACGACGAAGATGGCCTCCCAGCCACAAAAGGGGTAAGTGACGTTTCTTCTATTGTCATTTACCCTGTGGTTGGTTGAGGCTGTCGACTAAAACCCGGTTTCTCTGTCCCTGTTCCGGCGCGGTGCGAGAAGGAGAACTGCCTGGAGAGGAATCCCCGCCTCGCCCACTCTGACTGTATGGAGCCTGGTTGAGGATGGTAGCACTCCCGTGTGGGCGGCGTCGCTGTTGACGGGGATGTCGCTTGGGGGGGGGGATGTGACGAGTCGGCTGCCTCCACCCTAATTATTAGCATCACCCCGTCCCTTAATCGCCGTCCTTCGCCAGGCTCCTGACAGGAGTTGGTGCGTGAGAGAGGAGGGGCGCTGAAATAGCCAGGGCTGGCGGCGTGTGATGAGGCACACCTGAACCAAATGGAGCCTCATCACCGCCGCTGTTTAAATGCTGAGCGCGCCTCTCCTCGGGAGACCGGTCTCTTCCCCGTGCATGCATGCTGGTGTCCTCGTGGGTCCAGGAAGAGTCCGTAGAGGGACACCCGCGCCGCCAGAGCCATGAGCTGCCGGACCCGCTGTCCGGTCGATAACCGCACCTGTTATATGGCTGACGGGCCAAGGAGGACAAAGCCGCTCAGAAGAAGCCGCCGCCCCTTGCCCTGGACCAAGAGGGGAGCGCGTGCGGCCACCGGGCTCCGCCCCTTACCTGGACCCTTCCTTCCTTCCTTCCTGAACACTACCTGTCCTTCACAAACCCCGCAGCACGACGAGGACACCAGAGGGGTTGGGGCCCCCAGATTCAGAGTGACCCGATCCGTCCCCCTCACTGTCTCTATGAAAGGTGACATCGGTAAACAGAGGATTAATCTGGGTTTCCGCTATGTACATTAGCCTAAGTAGTGGCGGCCTGGCCCGCCGCACCTTAAACGTGCACTAAGCGATTTTTGAAAAACGCTTTTGACCGCAGTGTCTGACCGAGTCCCAAAACACACTTGTAGCCAATCAGCAGTAAGGGGGCGTGTTTTGTACTGATAGAGAGAAGAGAGCACTCAATTTGAGTGCACAGGACGGATATTAGCAGATTGACTATAGATAGAGAGAGATGGCAGATAAAAAAGAGACTGTATCACAGAAACAAAACATTAAAAAGAAGGGTTATGATCAGGCAAGAGGTAGGACCCGCGTAAATATCGGAGCAGCTTTCCAGCAGTGAAGAGAAACTCATGGAGCAGGAAGAAGATGGTATTTTTTCTTTTCATCTTGCCTCTGTATAATGCATATTAAAGTTAATAAGTTCAGCGCTGCTTTGTTTACAGCAGTAACCAGGAAACACTTTAAGCGCCACCTGCTGTCAGAGAGTGAATCTGCGTCTCGTTCAGCTCGTCTGCTGTTTCCGTTTCATGCAGATATTGTTTATGCATAGTTTCACAAAACAGAAGTCAGACCATTCTGTTTTTGCTTCAAATTTCGATTAAAAACTGCTCGTGTTGCATGTATGCAGCATCTTTGTTTGGATCATGATTAAAATGCAGTGGTTGCCTCTAATTTTAAATGTAAAGAGCACAGACAAAGCCTTAGTTTGTTTATATAAAGAGATTTCTTTTATTTGTGTTACTTATTTATTTGATTTGGGGCTTGTTTTAAAATTTCAATTCAGTTTTATTTACATTTACATTATATTAA